GCGACATAGGCTGGGAAGCATCCGCGAGGCCTGGAGCAAAGACGAAGAAGTGAGACTAAGGAAGACAAATGACTTGCCCTGGAGGTCAGCCTGTGAGCTGGGGTTAAGGGTGGGACCCACATCTTCATCCGTGGCCAGGCAGAGCCCGGATGAAGTCAACCGAGGGACTCTGGCCGGTGGCAGGGCAGTATGGGAGCTTTCTCCACAGATGTCACCAGGCATTTCTGCCTTTGCATCCTTCCCAACAGGATCCTGCTAAGTCTGTCTGCTTGCTTTCTGAGAAGGTTTCACTACCAAACAGAAGAAACGCTGAAAGCCACTGTCCTAACCCAAGTCTCACTCCGATGCTCTGGCTGATGTCTGCTCACTATCACGAGTGCTACAGTTCAATCATTCACTCAACAAACAGTCCCTGTGCCAGCTGCTGCACTCAGCACCGCAGACAGCCCTGAATGCCACGGGGAGGTCACTTTTGGGGGGAGGGGGCAGGCAAAAGCAATGATACAGATCAATAATCAAAATGTAGCTCCCCGACTGATGAGTGGATAAAGAAAATGTGGTGTATATACACCATGGACTACTACTCAGCCATAAAAAGAATGAAATGGTGTCTTTTGAAGCAACCTGGATGGAACTGGAGGCCATTATCCTAAGTGAGGTAACTCAGGAACAGAAAAGCAAATACCGCATGTTCTCGCTTACAATGGGAAGCTACTAAGGGTATACGCAGTCACACAGAGGGGAAGAGCAAACGTCGGAGACTTGAAAAGCGGGAGGCACGTAAGGGATGAAAAGTTACCTGTTGGGTCCCATGTGCACTATTTGGGTGATGGGAACACTAAATCCCAGACTTCACCACTGTGCAATATGTTTGTGTAACAAAACTGCACTTGTACCTCTACATCCATTGAAATAAATAAATAAGGATAAAATGACAGAATGCTGTCATTCCTGCATTGGCAGGAAATTGACAGTGGCCACTAAGAATGAGGGCAGGTGGTCAGGATAGGAAAGCCAGAACAGCACCATGTGAGCCCCTGCAAGACCGAGTGTGCCTGAGGGGCCACCAGAGACCAGGGTGGGGGGCATGGATGGGGGACAGCACCCAGCAGCTCTGAGCCAGCAGAGGGGCCCAGTCCAGGTGCCAGGCAGATGACTGCTGCTGCCACGGGGCAGGCGTTTAGGCGAAGGGAGTGGGAGAGATAGGCAGCCATAGGGACGGTGACGAGACAGAGGTCTATGTGGAGCCACAAGTGGATGGGCCATCTGAGTGGACGGTATGCTGGGGCAGAGCTAAGTCATCCAAGCTACGCAGGACACAGGGACACAGGGATGGGGGACCTGGGACCAGCCTGTGTGGAGTGAGGCTGGTGGGGCTTGAGTGTTCACGGAGTGGCCAGAGTGAGGTGCCATTTAGACAGGCCATGGCCCCAAAGCCAGAGCCACACTCATCTACTGATGCCCCGGCGATTACAAATCCACACCTACCGGAGGAGGTGCTGCCAGGGTGTGCTCCGTGACAGTCTCAGCTTCTCAACCTCCAAAGCACATCCAGCCACAGCAGAATACATCCTACCCTTTTGAGGTATGAGTCCTGGCAAGGCTCTTGGCACAGAGCTTTCACAGTGAAAAACATTATGAGAATAAGCTTTTGTAATAACCCAGCTGCGTTGTACAAAAACCTGGAATCAGGAAATCGGAAGGTCCTTCTTCCATTAACAATTAGAAGGTCTTACTTTTACCTATTTCTTAGCAATTTACGCTCTCCCCCAGATGGCCCTTGCGCTTCTGTGTGATTTGTTTGGATGATGTCCCACGGGCAGTTACAACACCGGACATTCTTCCTTCCCTCCAGCCAGCACCTGCTCCCCATCCCTCCCCCTCAGGCCCTGGCTGCCCTCCGTGGAGACCAACCGCTGACCCTGCTCTCCTAGGGTGGTCTTTGGCTAGGAGGGGGCAGACATCATAGGCCGGTCCCCTCCTGAGAAAGTTGACAAAGATTACAAAAACAGCATTGTCCAACTTCTTTAAAATAAAGCCACACAACTATACAGTAAAAACATAAACAATAAAAGTATAATACGTGACACGGAATAAAACAGTTAAATGAGAGCATATTACCTCACCGGCATGGTTAATAGAACAAAAAATATTTTTAAGTGAGTAATTTATTAATCACCAAAACTGGCCTGGATGACTAGGTAGGGACAGCTGCCACCTGGCACTGTCCTGCCATCCAAGCGACTCCTAAGTCCCTACTGGAACCCACATTTCCCCATAGAAACAGTGTGGTGCTCGAGTTCCCGGGCTCCCCTTGGTGAGCCTGAACCCAGCACTGACCACAGACTATGAAAATATCTCTGTGTGGAAACACACCCCAAGTTTCCGTCAAGACTCTCTCAGCCAGCTCCTGTCACTGCTGCAGAGTACGGGGTTGCGGGGGGCAGGGCCCCTCTTTCTGCCTGAGGCGGGGGCATCCTTGGAAGCCAGTATGGGAAGGGACGGCAGGGGCTGGAGAGGGGAGGGTCCAGTGCTGGGTAGGGCTCTCCAGGAGAGGGTGCGGAGGATGGGGGACCCCCAGGCCTGAGCCCCGGCGCTCCACCTGCACTTATATGATCTTGATCAGTTTTTCCCACCCTGCCTCGGTACCCCCACCTGTAACAATGGCAGGATATAATACAGACCTAGAATTAATTTTAAATTTTTAAATTTTTTTCCCGTCAGATTGCTAATGTGCTGATGTAACAAGGTTTGAGGAGGCACATCTCACACATGAGCATGAAAACCCAAACATCAGCCTTATGAACCATAAAAGGACCTGATTTAATCTAGAAAAGTTCATGGCCACCGTGAAGAGAATGTAACACACCAAGAATGGAGAGAGGTCTGGAACGGATAGAGACCTAAGATCCTTCCCCTAGATGGAAAGTGGTGTAACGGGTGGATGGCATGGCCCAGGGAGCGCGTACAGAGAAGCAGTAGTAGGGAAAAGGCAGCTCTGCCATTGCCTTACCACGTGATCCTGGAGGTCAGACCTAGAATTAACATGCAGATTAAACGATATAACTTTTTTTTTTACTCTTATGTTCACTAAAGAAATTGAAAATGGAAAAATAACATGAAACACTGGCACAGGTCCTGAAACTCAGGGTGCGCTCGGGAAGCAGCCTCTTCCCCTCCCCTCCCCTCCTGCTGCAGGGCACTCCCCACAGCAGGGGCCTGGCCCCAGGCCTGGCTCTGAAGTGGAGGGCAGAGGGGACCAGGGCTCGGAAACCCCTCAGGGGCAGGGGAACCCCGCCACCCAGCCAGAGCACCACTTCCTCAAGGGACAACAGAGCTGGCGTGGCTCGGAGTAGGGTCTTCCCACACTTGGGAAGCGTAGGTCTTTAAAAATGAGAAAATGGACTGCATAATAAAACTCCCTGCACCTACTGCTGACAGAAGAAAACTTTTAGAGGTAAATAAGGATTATTATATATGATTAAACATATTAAGTAAACCTCTCAAATTTATACATTTCCTGCAGAAATGAATGTCTTCCACCAGAAAAGAGAAGTCAGAACACAGTAGAAAATGTTATGAAAACCATTCACTTTTATCCTGGACTTGGTTACAGCTCCTATTTCTTTTCACCAAGGAAGTTTTCCCACTCTCAGCTTAAGGCTGATTAAGTGACACGATTATCACTGTGCATAAACTAGGAAGTACGATTCCTTTATTCAAAAAACACATCCTGAACATGCAAACTTTAGGCTCCCACCAGCCTCAGCTTCCAGTACGCACATGTTTGTCCTGGCAGGGGACAGCAGCTCTTTTTGGGCCCCAGGACCGAGACTAGCAGTTGTGGGACGACAGAAAGTTTTGAGAAAACTATACTTGGCCTCTCTTTAACCTGCAATCAAAGAGGGCAGCCTCAACCGGGTGCTGTCGCCTCTCAGCAGCTGTCGCTGTCACCGCCCGCACTGCGGACCACCCCAGCATGTGAGTGAGAATAAAGGGCTGATGCCTGTGCGGCACCGTGCGACTCAACTCCCACAGACAGAAGGACAGACAGAAACACGTAAAACACAACAACAAACTTGTGAGCATAAGGACTTTTGTGAGTATTATAAGAAATGAGGAATATTTGGAAGAGACTCTCCAAATCATTTTGGAGAGTTTTTTAAAAAAAGTCATCAAACTAAAACGATAAGGATTACATCAGAGAAATCTTCAGTGAAATAAGACATTTCTGGCTATTTCCTTTTTCAATCAGTTCCTTTAAAAGAATTCCTTTCAAATTATTCAAAGACAGAAGGTTTTTGATTCCTCTTCATCCCACACTCTCAATTCACCTACTATCCTTCTCCTGAGAAAAGGAAACTAAGCAGCCCAGAGTCTCACCCAAAATTCCAGAATTGCTCAAATTCAGCAAGCTCTTTGAAGTCTTAACTTGCTGGTTTAAAAGCTGGTTATACAACAAGGGAACAGCAAACACACGTTGTGACTTGTCAACTCAGGCATGCGATGGGAGGGACAGCAGCCCAAGCACGTGCCCCCGCCCGGACGACCATGGATGTGCTAGCACTACAGTTCCCAACCCCCAGGCCGAGGCCCAGTACTGGTCCATGGCCTATTAGGAAACTGCCACACGTCACCTCCCGGGCTCTGCACCACGTCCACCCCACAACCCCCCACCCCCACCCCCACCCCCAGTCTGTGGAAAAATTGTCTTCCATGAAACCCGTCCTGGTGCCAAAAAGGTTGGGGACCGCTGCTCTAGCACACTCATGCTCAGGCTCACCACACTCCTCCGTAGTGAGCAGCTTCCGAACACAGGCCAAGGCCACCAGGAGGTGACAGAAAGCGCCCCCTGAATTCACCACAACTAAAACCCTCCCACAAAGGGACAGGGAAAGGCAAAGAAAACGTGTTTTTGAGTGTGTCAACTGACAAAGACTTTCACAATTTGAAAACTTTGTTAAAAATAATAAAAATATACATCAGAAATTGTGACTTACCACCATCAGACACAGTTGCAGACTGAAAGAAAAGAGAGAGAGACATGAGTTAATTAAGCCTCATGACAAAACTCAGGAGACAGTACGTCCATTGAGGAACAAAACTGGAAGCTTCTCTGGAATGTCCTTAGAGACGTTCTCCAGGTGCAGGTGTCTGAGAAGGCCAGACGGCTCAGTGAGTCAAGAGTTACAGTCCCACCTCCAGAGTGAACTCCGCCCAAACTGGGTGACACCCAACAAGAGGAAGTCATCGTCATTTTCATTTGAAAAGAACAAACCCCAGCATGTTTGACATTGCAGTCTTATTAACAGCCTCAGTGAAAGGAACTCAACAGACTTGAGAATGATCAGCCCTCTAGGTGACACACAGCATTAAGGAGGTGGGCAGTGGACCAGCAACCCTCAGGCCTGCCTGCTTTAATGTCCACCAGCTTGGGCAGCGGCATGCCCAGTGCCAGACACTGTCCCGAGGTCACATACACACACACCCCAGCATCACCTCCACCCCAAGGGCCCAGGGAGGTGACATAACCCACAGGTGGTAGGAGAGAAGGTGTCAAGCCTGGAGACATGCCCAGCTGCCCACCCAAGCGGTGCAAGAGTGGCCACAAGCAAGTGGGCTACAGAGAAGTTTCTAAGGAGGGGCCTGGAAGAGTGGAAGAGGTTGGAGGGTTGGAGGGAGGGTGGCTTCCAGACACAAGGGACAAGAGTGAACAAGCCGCACAGGAGAGCTGGCTGCGGTCAGGCATGACAGACACTCAGAACAGCAAAAACTACCCCAGTTCTTTGACAGGAAGGGTGCATGGAGAACTCGGAAGACCTTCTGGGGATGCACCTGCAGGACAACCGGCCAGGGACACCAGTGCCAGGAGGGAGAGGAATCAAGGAAGGAGGGGGCTGAGGAAGTGGGGGCATGCCAGGGCACACCGGGAGCTGGAGGAGCTGGGGGCAGCATGGAGGGGCCCGAGCAGAGCAGAAGAGGCTGTGCCACGAAGGCCCCAAAAGCCGCCATGCTGGACGAGCAGGAGCTGGACGCTGACCAGGACCCTCCCAGCTCCCGTGGGGAGAGTAAACCTGCCTCCTGGTTGGCCGCAAGGGAGTCCCGGGCTCACCTCCCCAGGCCCCTCCCTGGGATCTGGCCTGGCCAGGTGACAGCACTCCCAGGACTTGGCCTGGGAGGGGTTCACGCTCCTGTCCTCTCTCTCTGCCAAAGGCACAGATGGCCACAGAGGAACCCACGAGAAAGGTGTCATCTCTAGCTAACCTGGCTCACACCCACCAGCACCTCTCCCTAAATTCTGGGCCACTCCCAAGAAGTTGAGGTCATTAAGACCCCTAAGGCCAAAACGCAAACAAGTGAGGCCCAGGGGAACCCCTGAAGGCACCAGCGGCCCTCACTGGGGAGGGAAAGGGTATAGGCAGCTCACATTTGGAAACAGGTGCTGCATGTCCCTGGGCTCTGTACCTCCCATCCCACCATCCCACCCCTCAGCACCAGGCCCTAGGCCTGCCTCCAGCCTGCCAGGGAACACAGCCACCCCCTGCCGTCCACGCAGACTTGGTGTGGAAGAACCCCCGCCCCCGGCCTCCCCCTGGGGTGACTTGCACCCGCAGAACTAAGAGAGCCCACCCTCGCAGCCCAATAGCGTGTGTCCTCGGACGGCCAAAGGAAGCCACTTTCTGACAATCGCTGCTTTAAACCATCGTGGGTCCTTGGTTCAGAAACACAGAAACCCAGTTTCAGAGTATCCGGCCACCTTGACACATTTTCAACAATAAAAACACACCCAGTGTACACCTACTTTTTAACTTTTGTCTCATTAGACAAGAAGGAGAAAGAGCAGACAGCAGGCAGCCAGTGCGTGGCCCTCAGCCCTCCTGCAGGGCTGGTTTTGTCACAGGGCCGCGGGCAGGACCACTTCACAGCGCTGCCACTCTTCCCATGCCCACAATAAATCACCTACGATCACATTATAATCTAAATAACGTAAAATGCAAATTACTCCCTTGAGATTATGCAAACAAAATCTGCAAGGCTGTACACAAAGTCAGAAATATCGTCAATAATAACATCTGAAAAATTAATCATAAAATGTGAAGGTAGTGATTCATGTCATGTCACACGCATGATTAAAACTACATTCTCAGAATTTGGCAGACTGAACAAAGTGCTCTTGAAAATCTCTACACACACAGCATTTACACTCCCCAAATTAGCTGGAACTCAAGAACCAGGAGAGAGGGGTGTCCCAGAAGCCCAAGGGAGACTGAAGGAGAAAGCGGCCGTGGAGTGTCTGCAAGGTGGGGCCGGGACAGTGCCGTGCTCGCGAGCCGCGGGCGAGGCTGCCGGACCAGAGCCCCTCCGGGAGGCCTCCGAGGCAGGTAAAGTTCCACAAACACAATGTTTTTTCAAGTAAAATTTATCTTTTCAAACAGTTTTAAATTTATAGAAAGGTTTATTTTAAAAAGACAGTGCAGAGACAAACATGCTATCCAATATACCGCCGCTCCAAAACGGTAAAGGGGAATCTCTGAGAGAGACGAGGAGAGAACGGAACTGTGAGCAGTGAGCAAACGCCAGCACCACGAGGGCCAGGTTCCCAGCATGCGCTCAGCCACAGTACAGTCGACCGCGCCATCCGAGACTCTCCAATTTGGCCAAGGCCCTCAAGAGGGTAGAGCTGTCCTGGGGCAGAGATGTCCCAACTCCCAGTAGCAGCAAGCACAAATCCTTCTGGGAAAAAAGCAGCCCAACTGAAGCCCTTAGGTATTCCAAAAAGTGAGCCCACCAAAATATGAGCTTATAATCAAAAACCCAAGGAAAAAAACCCACCACAGGTAGGAGTCAGTAGGAACAATTAACAGAATCTCGGACATTAGAAAGATGTAAAATGGAATGTTAAATAACTATGAAATTATAAAGAAATAAAAGTTACAATAAAAAAGAGGAAGTTAGGTGGCAGATCTCAAAAATAACCATATAGAATGTTTGATAATGAAAAATACAATGGTTGAAGTTAAAGATTCAATACATAAATTGAATAGAGTTTAGATGGTTGAAGAGAGAATTTGGAAATTGGAAGACAGAACTAAAGAAAATCACCTGACACAGTACGGAGAGATAAGGCATAGAAAAAAAGAAACAAGAAGTAAGAGGATGAATGGCAGTCTAATCAGAGCCTAGAGGGGGTCGCATGGGGAGTATAGGATGCTAAGAGAAAGGAGACTAATTTCTTTTTCCAGAATGAGAGCAGTTATAAAGATATTTACAGATAACCCATCCTGAAAGAGCTCATCAGCCACAGGCCATCCCTTGAGGAACTTCTCAAGGCTGCCCACCAGGAAGAGGCAAAGGATCCCGGACTCTGAGCTAAGAGGCTCCTGGGAATTCCATTTGTGTCTCAATTGTTCAGCTATTTCCAGGGAGGGACTCAAAATCTATAAGCCACAGCCTCAAATGATGCATGTCCTTCCTTTTCCCCAGTTTCGGTAGCCATTCCGAAAGTATACTTTCTAAACCCTAAACTCTAAGGAAAGTTCTAGACATCTGGGGAGCTCCAGGCTGGTGTACTCTGTGCTTTGAAGACTTGCCTGGGGGCCCAGTAAGGAATTGGAGGTCACGGATAATCCCCCATATCATGTCTTCTCAAAGCCCCTAAACTCTGCATATAAGTATTTGATAAAAAATAAACTGGCACTGAAATTGCTCCTAACACATATGAATGTGAAACATGCTCACCTGAAAGCTAGTTACAGAGCGCTTCTTGTTCATGGTTTCCACCATCTCTGACAACTGTTTATAGCCCAACTAAACATTGAAAGAAAGATCGATGGGGCATGCTTTAAAGTTGCTTGGACACAAAACCACTGTCCTTCTCCAAGTTTACACACTTTCAGAGAAATGAGTGATGACTTTTCCTGACCAGAATACTTAATTTGCAAAGAAACAATTTATAATTACCATTAATATAACTGCTTTTGTTTAATGTCTGACATTTATTCTATTTCTGAGAACACACCTGGGAGTGACAGAGCCGTGTATCAGACAAACCGAGATCCTGTGACCCGTGAATGAGGGGCCAGAGTGTGTGTGTGCCCAATCAGTGCCTGCCCCCCTCACCCTCCTGACAATGACACAAAAGGAGGCTAAGGAACGTCTCCAGGAGGCTTTGGTCTAACAGGAGATCAGATTCATGCAGGGGGAGCATTTAGTGCCACAGCAGGGGACAAGTGTGGGCAACAGAGGGGCAGGAGGGAGGGGTCCAGCCAGAGGGAAGTGGGAGGGCACCAGGCGGGGAGCCAGGGGTCCAGCATGCTCACGGGGCAAGCACTGGGCGTGGGGTGGGGGCTGAGGGTGTCAGGAAGGCAAGTGGCCAAAACAGGCAGGGGAGAGAAAAGGCAGGGAACCCCCAGACCATTTCTATTGCCTTGGGATTCATGACTCATCCTGTTCTGACAAAATCACCTCTTCCTAAACCTGGGCTGCATTTTTTTGAGCGCATCCTGGCTGACAGAGGGGAAAGCAGTCCGCATGGGCAAAGATTCAGAAACGACCAAGGAACATCCCTGCAGATGCTGAGTAGGACTAACTGCAATTCCATGGGGCTTTAAAAAAGGTGATTCCCATATTTATCTCCTGAGACAGGTGTAGGAACACACAACAGACTCAGCAGTGTCAGTCAGCCCACCATCATGTCATTAATTCTCCAGGTCTCTTCCAGGTCTCGGCTGCATTTGCCCTCACTCAGCAGAGGATATGAGGAGGAACAGCGGAAGTCTGGCCCCAGCCTCTAGGAGGGAGGAAGGAGCACACATGCAGCTCTGTTTCTAATTTGAAAATACCTCTGATGAGAAATTTTTTCTTTTTCTTCTTTTTTTTCTTTTAGAGATAGTATCTCACTCTGTCACCTAGGCCGGAGTGCAGTGGCATGATCACAGCTCACTGCAGCCTTGAACTCCTGGGCTCAAGCGATCCTCCCACCCCAGCCTCCTGAGTAGCTGGGACTACAGGCACAAGCCACT